AATCCGTTAATGATGGAAATATTGAAAATGTCTAAAGTCACTCAATAACATTTCTATACTAAACATATGTGGTTTTTCACAAGTATATAGTTTCACCTTTCACTGTACCTATCTGGGCATCTGGTTATGTCTGTATAATCATACTTACATGTTAAATAGGTAGGTACGTCCTGTACTCTGTAGTATATAGGTTATTTGAATACTAAAAGGTTATCATTTATCACTTATTCACTTATCATTCTACGATTTGTACATTAATATCTACTTAGTACTTATATAATTATATTTTAGGTACTTACAAGTTACAATTACATAATAAACTGCATACCTAGATTCCAGGTATTAGTGTACTGCATAGTATATACTGTGTATAATAGTGGTGGTTAGTATAATATTCATATAAAATTTCACATGAACTAAATAATATATATTTTTTTACTCTAATTAGATGATTTCTTCTCAGGCACAGAYGCACTGTGAATGCTTTATTTTATAATTCATTTTTATTATTATTATTATTTTAGTTATATTATACTGAYTATATCAAGGTATAGGAAGTACCTTTATGTTTATTCATTTTGTTAGTATCCACCAGCTGACAGCTCCCTTGTACCAAATATTGATTAAAATAAATAATAAGTAATATTATACGTATATAATATTTATATATTTGAATCAATTGCCTACTTGTGCTATGTATTCAATTTAAAATACATTTATTTTTTTTAATTTAGGCCTATTAGACCAGTTTTTAATTTTTAAGGTAATAGATATAATAATATGTAACGTCTAAAAATCAGTTATGGTATTGATGCAGACGCGAGGTAACTAGGAAATCCCTCTTCTCTTTTAAATAATAAAATATTTAAATTTTCAAATAGTCAAATTGTTTTACACTYTGACTATCTCCTCAAATTTATTACCAAATCAAACACTGCCAAAAATAGGACTAATAATTGTATATATAATACCCGTAGTGTGTGGTTTAATCACATGTTTATTTTTTATACATTTGCGAGTGTTATCAAACAGCCGTACGGTCAGGACAGCTGCARGCTAGAACATCAGGTTGTCCTTATCAGTGTTTACAATCTAAAAATTCTTTCGGTTTCGTAAGTCGTTAGAATGATGTTTGACTTTGAATGTCAAATGTGTTAACTACAAAATAGTAAATACGAAAAAACTTTACAGGGTCAAATCCTCTAAATGGTAAGTATTTATAGTCTGCAAAATTGTTTGATAGAACAAATAAAATCATACCTAATCTACACTATCGACTTCCTTATTCTCCCGAATATAGGTACTCAGTATTTTATCTACCTACCTACCTTTGTGTTTAATTTTCTATCTAATCTCATGGTTTGGCAGTAGGTAGTAATAATAATAACTCAGTTCATACTTACCAATCACTCAATCAATTGTATGCTTGGCTTATTTGTTATACAGCAGCAGTTTCCGGTGACTTACATTTCAGTAACGTGTCTGATGATAATAATAACAGTGTTTAATAAAACCAATAATGGTGTTCACACAAGTGGTATCCATCAAAGACAAAGCACCTGGAACCAAAGTATACAACTATGCTGATTCATTCTGGTGTACATATATTGTGTCTGTGGTAGCTGCTAGTGTTGCAGAAATATGTGAGTACTTTTATAAGAACCGTATAAATCCATTAAATTGCAAATCATCAAAAATATTAGGGGGGCTTAAGCACCAATTATAATTGGCATTATATRATGCCAAAAACCAAATTTTTTAATTTTTAGTACTTTTTGAGCCTATATAGGTCATATTTCAATTTTTATTACTTTTTTAGATAATTTTTTTTATAATTCCTGTTAATCAAAACTTTTTATATACATGTTTTTAATTATTATTTTTATTTTTKTCATAAGTTTTTGTAAATTAAYAAAAATATTGGTTATTTTACTTTTTAGTTAATATTTTAAGATTTGAAATGTATTTTTAAAATTTTTTTTTCTTCATTAAATCAATATCCCTAGTTTTAATATTTTATATATAACAAATTATTTATCTATTAATTAGTTATGTAATTAATAATTATACTAGAAATATAATTACAGTGAACACGTTTGTTCATATTTATCTAAAATTGTTTCATTAATAAATACTTCCTATTAACCATTAGATGTGGATAATTGGTAAGTTCGAAGTCTATGTTTACCCACTTTTGTGGTACAATTTCAATATGTCCATACTCTTAATTATTATTTAAGACTTTTCTGCATTCCCAAAAAATCTTAGCTCTCCTGCTGATTGCACCAATATGGTTTTTTACTTAATTTGTTATAATAATCATACACATATTTATACCTTAATATTTATTAAATATTATTTAATCTTGTGCAGTGACATACCCATTGGATTTGACCAAGACCCGTYTACAAATACAAGGTGAAGTAGCTACTAGCAGTAAACCTACACAGTATAGAGGCATGTTAAAAACGGCTATCGGTATTGTCAATGAAGAAGGTGCCCTAAAATTATGGCAAGGGGTAACACCTGCACTTTATAGACATGTAGTGTATTCTGGTATTAGGATTGTGTCGTACGAAACCATGCGTGATAAATTATTATTAAAAAATGAAGATGGGTCATTTCCGATATGGTATTCACAAATAAACAACACAAATAGGTAGATTCTTTGATTTATTATTTAACTTCAGGAAATCGGCCATAAGCGGAGTCATGTCTGGTGTTATTGCTCAGTTTGTTGCTAGTCCAGCTGATTTAATCAAAGTTCAAATACAGATGGAAGGCAAACGGYGTCTGATGGGAGAGCCTGCTAGGTATACCTATTATATATCATATTACAATTATTTAACATTTATATTTATAATATTTTATTATTTTATACAAGAGTGTTAGGTGCAGCACATGCATTCAAAAAAATAGTATCCGAAAGTGGTGTTCGTGGTTTGTGGAAAGGCTCTATACCCAATGTACAACGTGCTGCTCTTGTGAATCTTGGTGATTTGACTACTTATGATACAGCTAAGCAAGTAATTATGCTTAAAACTGGATTACCTGATTCACATCTTCTACATTGCCTTTCTAGGTAACTTATTTTATTATTTTACATAAACTGTTAAGTTTTTTAAGTGTGATTTATTATTTCAGTGTATGTGCTGGATTAGTAGCAGCTACATTAGGAACTCCAGCAGATGTTGTAAAAACACGTGTTATGAATCAACCAACTGACAAAAATGGAATGTAAGTTCAATCACTGTAAATCTATTTAAAAAAAAAAAACATTTTCAAGGTTCAATTTTGTTCATATTTTTTTTTTTTTTTAGTGGTTTGATATATAAAGGATCTTTGGACTGCCTGTTTAAGACTATTGAAAATGAAGGGTTTTTTGCTCTTTATAAAGGATTTTTACCTGTTTGGATTAGGATGGCACCTTGGTCATTGACTTTTTGGATGAGTTTTGAACAAATACGTCATATGCTTGGTGCTACTGGGTTTTAGAAATTACAGAAAATAATCATTAGATCTCATTTTTATTATGTTTTTCTTCTTTTAAGTTGGTTCTAAAATATATCCAGATGTTTATTTTCATCATCTATATTTTCCTTGATTGTATAGAAAATGTAGGTCATATACATACACACTACACATAGTTTATTTTGTAGAATCTAGAGTTTGATTTTTGTACAAGTACGATGGATTATATTATTAAACAAAATCAATCATAAGACAACATTATTTCTATCAAACAATAKAGAAAAATTTCGGGCATTTACTGCAGGCTTAAAATTAAATTAGTAAGAATTAAATACTCTTTACTTATTACCATATTGAATTAAATTTATTTTTATTTAATTTAACTTGATTTGTGATTAAATGGTAACTCATCATTTTTAAATCAACAGATTTTAATATTAYTATTTCAAAAGTAAAGTATTACTTTAAAAATAATATTTTGAAGATAGGGACTAATAATTTGCTTTTTTATTAACWTCTTACAAATWTTTACTTTCATAGATTTATTTTTTCTCTTTCAATTAAGTGACATTTATATGGATTGRCTATGATCTTACCCTTAAACCTACAGTTAAAGAAATACAGAATAATATTTTTCTATATTGTATGTTGAAATGACAGACAGTTAATGTCAATAATATTATACCACCTTCAAAATTTAATAATTAAAAATTGTGTTTTATCATCATTTATACATTACTGAAGTTATCATCACTTTTGGCTCAAATTTGTGTAGTTATTAGTGTTATTTATGTTTAAAATAATAACTKTTGTATTGAAATGTTTGATAAGTTAACTATTTAATCTATATTTTATGTTTAGCCAAATACTAATTATTTTATAGTATTAACTACATCGTGTACAACTTAAATTTACCTGTTGGTTTAATTTACTTGTAAAATTATCTTTCGTGTATACAAATTACCTAACTAAATTTTATAGAAATTTAYCAACATTTCTATAAAATATATAAGTACCTATACGTAAATATTAAATACATTATACAATCTATGATGCCAATTAAACCCGATATCTATTGCTAACACTAATCACTGTTTTCATTCAATACCATTTATTTCAAGTTCAATGATAATTTATACAACACAAACTAAATATTTAATTCTTTCGCGTAATAAGATGTTAAATAGCCGGACATAAAATAAAATGTCTGAGTAGAAAATGTATTTTTTATTACGAATTAATTGGCTCATAAATTCATATTTTTTACTTTTACTTCRTACAAGTTGTACCTAACCTACTGGGTCAATTCACTTACATATTAATTCCAACAATTAACAAAACGAAATCTGTTCTGCAGCTGTTTTCAAATTTGCTTTGTTATAGCTTATAGTATACTTGTATACTTTCGTAAGATGGAGATAACATATGCAGTTGTGACGTCCATTTAACTCAGTTAAACTTAAAAATTATGGGTACTTTTTATGATTTACATTTTTAAATAAATAGGTAATARCATTATTTTTTATCTGCAAGAATTAAAAAAGCTCTACAATGTTTATTTCTACATCTCAGTAATGAGATATTAGTGATACACATATACTTAACAAATTCATTTTGACACAATTTATATATATTTAAATGTATTGTTTATAGATAATAAAGCATTACCACCAGTGCCGGCCCTAGTGGGAGGCAAGCAATGAGACCTCACCTGCAGGCGCTTGTGGGGGCCCCATGGGCCACAAATTATGTAAAAAATAAATATGGATATGTATATGTATATATAAATAGTTGATAAATAAATATATTTGAACCATGGGTTCCCGCAAAATTCTGCACCAGGCCCCCGAAAACCATCGGGCCGGCATTGAGTACCACAATATTCAGCACTCGTGAGTCTAAAAATCCCTTACCATATACGTTTGTCTTATGATTGTGAAGCAGTGGCAACGATTGAACGATTTGATAGTTTTTATTTTATTTCATTAATCTAACGGGCGGAAGATTAATGGACCCAATGAATAAACCCAATAAATTAAAAAATATAGTTACATATGGCAATAA